TAATATTCATAATCCCCTCTAAGACTCTACAACGACATAACTACGCGATAATTCATAGTGTCCAGAGATTTCATAATCACGAGACACGACAACATTTTAAAGAATTGCAATTACTTACATACATTATGTTGTAATATTCATATGTTTATATACATTTTCCTTCAATTTCCAAAAATATTAACATTAATAATGTTTATTGCAACAATATAGATAAAAACGTTGTAATATGTGGATACAACACTAATAACTTAATAAAAAGTCAACTGCTGTAAAGGTAAACATTATTATTTAATAAAAGAAGCAAAATACAGCAATACCTCGCATAGTGCGGATTAGATCAGTACGGATTGACTTTAAAAAAATTAATTAATTAACTATAATATAAAGAAAATTCAATAAATATTTGTTATATTCGTAAAAAAATCCAATAGAATGAGGGGTGCCGCAGGGAAGTATTTTAGGATCACTGCTTTTACTTTCTATACACGGCAGATAATGCTTGCATATCACATTCACGCTAATGAAAAACATGTATCAGACTTAATGGACACGATCTGTCCATAGCAACAAAAGTCAAGTATCTGGGCATGTATCTAGACAGAAGACTCACCTGCAAAGAATACATTTAGGCTAAGAGGGAGCAATTAGAAATAAAGTTTAGAAAATTCTACTGGCTTCTAGGGAAAGATCGAAATTGTCAGTGGAAAATAAATTACTTACATATATACAAAGTAATACTAAAACTAGTATGGACGTATGGTATCCAATTGTGGGGTGCGACCAGTAAATCGAACATTTAAATTATACAAAGGTTCCAATCATAATGCATAAGAAATATCCATGGTTCGTCAGGAATAAACAAATACCCGAATATAGATATGGTCGAGGATACAATACCAACATTTAGTAGTAGATACCAAGATAGACTGGAGTCACATACTAATGTTCTGGCTATTGGCCTACTCGACAACCACAAATAGGCTCAAGCGTTACAAACCACTACATTTAGTATATAGATTTAAGTAATTATTAATGTTCTATCCACTGGGAAAGATTATCATATAACATTGATGAACAGATTGTGAATAAAATTATACAACATATAAAAATATATTCGTAACTTATAATAAATTGCGATTGTATATGGTATGAGATATATCTGTAAAGTTGTAACCTTTTTCATTTTTTGATGAAATTTATTTGCATAAATATTCATTATATTCTGCTACACTTTTTTTTAATAAGGTTTACATTGATTGTAATTCAACCTTTTTATGCATCCTTAATAAATTGCGATTTATGTGTGGGGATATATCTGGAAAGTTTGTAACCTTTTGTTTCCTTCCAAATTGCCCTGCAGCGATGCAAATTCGCGTCTAGACGCGGCCGTCATTTATAGCCGCTTTCCAAACTACTTACACTTATACTATCTTGGATATAAAATACGGTAATGGGACCGAAGACTCGCCATCATATCCAATTTGTTTAAAGCACTGAAACTCCTCCGGATCTGTCTATAACTCTCCACCCGTTTCTCTACTCGTTCAAAGCTCGCTCGTGCTCGTTCATCGCTATTTTCCCTATTTGTTTCGTTTCTCAAATTTATGCTCGACCATTAAAACGCGCGACACACAATAACCGATGCCCATAAAATTGCACAAAAGACGGACCAGACTTTCCACCCCTGAACGACGCCGAAATCTCCCTTATTTAAGACCTCCCCCATTAAACTGGATCGTCGTACGTAAACAGCATTAATGTTCGGTAAAGGAGATCCGGCAGTGATTGCTGTTAATTAATAATTCCGTTTCGAGGTTTACTGCCCTTTATACTCTCACTCTATTCTTTTCTGAACACAAAATCTGCTTAATTTTGTATGCTAAGTAATGAGAAAATCCGACAAAGTTTAGGTACAGTTAATTAATTAACAGACAAATTCATTATTTTGAGAGTTAAGAAATTTATCGGTCTTTTTGAGTCACGATGATAATAATATTACATTTACTCCCTTAGTTTCAGTTTATCTCCATCGAATAATTAAAATTAACATTTTACGTATTTAATAAGTTTTTATAAAAATTAATAATCTAGCAATACCTCGCATAGTGCGGGTAATCAGATCTGCCAATAACCCAGACTATTTGAAATCCGACTAATCGAGGAACTACATTAATGTTCTTATTGGAAGTAAAAAAACGATAATACAAATGTAACATATATTCATACCCCATGAAATTTGAATTTGTTCTAGTATTCAAGCGTTGATAATTAAAAAAACAACTTGTTCTTTGCTTCCTATGTGCTCGTGGGTCCCGTGGGTCCTTGTGAATATGTAGATTTTATTACTACACTACTGCATTTTAAAGAATTTAATTTAGTATTTTTTATTATTAAAGTAAATAAATCGAGCAAATAATAGATTTGAAAGATGGGATTCGTTATTTATAAGTTTGTTAGGTTGTTAGTAAGATGAAACGAACTGTTGATCTAATGAGCACACCGAGATGCGGTTTTGATTTCGCAAACGTCTTCCTTGGAATATGAAATATTCCACGTATCCGACGATATATCTAACCGAAGAAGGCCAGTAACTGTCAAGCTGTGTTATGCGATTATTCATGCACGACTGGATAATACATCTATTTGTGGATCACGGTTTTAAATCCAACGTCGTTTTTCATAATGCCATTTGTTCACGATTGCTTTGTTCATTCATCTTCTCCATTCACAATTTAATTAACTGTTTGTACTTTTTTTTGGAAAATCTGTCCCTGCATAACATTTATTAAGTTATGTTACGTAATAAAATAAATAAACAATTCTATTTTATATATTATAAATATGAAGAAAACTATTTTGTAACTTATTTATCCTATATATGGAAAATGTTATAAACATTTATTGTTTTCTTAAGTTTTGTTCAATTTCTAAATCAGAGTATTTTTTGAGTATTTTAAAGATTTGTTGTTGTTTTTTTTACATGAAACGACAGTAAACACAATGAAACGTAGGAGTAACAATGCTACTAAAATGTATAATATTGTTAATATTAAAATGTGTATTACAGTAAATTTTACAATGTTAAAAAATTGTTTCAATCTTATTTACAATCTGCCATAAATTGACAAGAAGTAAATATTAGTGCCATAATAGTAATGAGAGAAACAACAACCTAATGGAAAATTTTCTGTACAATTGTGTAAATATACAATGGAACTGTACAAGGGCAATATCAAGTACGTCTTCAATATTAGTTTCCATTGATTATTTGCGGGAGAAAAGAAAAGTTTGCTAGATTATACTTAGTTACAATGGGGCTTGTCCATTGCAGAGATGCAGTTTAAGATAATTAATGTGTTTACAAAAGGAGCATTGGTGATTTGCGTGACAATAGATTTGCCGTTGCATTGAGTCGAGTTCTGAGGTCAAATTATAGTGTAGTTATCTGAGCAGGATAATGAATAAATTTGTAGTTAGGGTTTGCTGTTGGACACGACTAATTAACAACTCCCAGATAGAGCGTATTATTATTATTAATTCACTACGTGCACGTTTTCCTCGTTTCGGATTCTGCATGTGATTTTCTATGTGCAAGAGTTCTTTCTGTCCTGGGAAACAATCCAAAACCACAGACGAATTTCAAATTAAATGTTGTAAGGCAACCATATCGACGTGCCATCCGGATGGGTTGATGCAGGGACATGTAGAGGATAGGCTCAGTTTGATTTCCTGCCGGTCAAATGCGGAAAATGCGGTGGCTCCAATCGTGTGAAAATTCCAATAATTATTCCAACTGAAAATTGCCAACCGCGAATCGATACACCATGTTACGAATGACTAGATGATGACTATCAATGATAAAACACAAAAAATATACAATACTTAAAGGAATTTTACAACTATTATAAAATTAAATAAATTTAATAGTCAAAATCAATACATTTTAATAGAAAAATATATAAATTAAAATTTTATTTTATTTCTGAAAAAACATGTGTATTCGTGCATGTAATTTAAAATTATTTTGTAAAATTAAATAATCGACATGAGTATACAGTTAACGAATATCATACTAAATTACTTTGTTAAACGAAACTTCCTATTCAGAGGCTAGAATGGGAATACGTACCTTGGCAAAGAAAATTAAAAGCTTTTGTCAAACGATGAAAAGTTTTATGAAATAATCAGTCATATTACATACAAGTTGTTATCACATTTTGATGAGTAAAGTTAATTATTTCTGCTTTTCTTTCTGTACTAAATAAATTTCTAACATCCTTTTTATCTAACATCTCATTTAAATTAATTTCTAATTTTGTGGATGTTATTTTTTGCTGTTCGCCTTAAATTTCATTAATTTTATGTTAAATAATGCTTCAAATTGCGGAATTCTTTATATCGCAGCTTCGTTATCAGAGGTAACGTTAACCGACATAATTGTATTTTAATAGAAAAAATTCTTTTTTTTGTAATCCAATAAAATATATCGAAAGGCGAAGATTTAAAAGAGTCTTTATATTACACAATACACAAGGTCCTTCTATTGATTTCTTTTGAGATGAATGCACAATCCACCAAACAAATACACATATTTCTAACAGTAACACATAAGACGATATTGATTTTTGTTACATGATTATCATCATTTACTATTTACTAATTATTAAACTATTTATATAACTTTACTTATTATATATCAAGAATATTAATGAAAGTTCCTTTAACTTTTTATTTTTTCTTATTGATCAAAGCTTAAATATATATAAGGTAAAGCGGAAATAAATTACATAAATAATTCTTGTATATTTATTTTTTGTCTTTACATTTATAGCGTTCAATATGAAAGAGTATACTTCATTAACAGGGATTTGAAAAAGTATTATTCTTATATAAACAGAAAGTTTTTAATTTAAATACGAAAGCGTCCGTAGATAATTCGTCCCTTTTTACATCCTGCAGCAATTAAAAAATAATTATGTTTTCTTTGCTTCTCGTTTCAGGCTTCCCGGGACACGGAGATGTTAAACCCCTCAAAGAATTATTAGTAAGTAAGTACACTCAACCCTTAATAATAATAATAAAGAACGTAACAATACTTGTACGGAAGCCATATATTTCTTTCCCTGCTTTGCCACACAACATTATTATATTAAATTTAAAAGAAACAAAGCAAAATTCACTGTAATATAACTATGGCTTCAATATTCAAATTGAATATATATTTAATGAAAGCCGAAATCTCATATTGATGAACGCATTATATCATACTCTTTCTGCACTACCAAAAAAATCGTCTCGCTCTCTGTTTGAAACCCGACCGCAATCTGCTATTAATTATAAACACAATACCGTGATATTACTAATTAATCATACGAAAATTTAATGATCATTGAACAACTTCTCGTTGTCCACCCTCTTTTCGAGCTACAACGAGCATTACCAACGAACAGATTTATTAACTCGTATATTTTTCGAGAAAGTTGTTTATTAACATTTGTTCATTAATTATAATGATTACAGTAGAAAGTTTTAACGCATTCAATTAGTCATAAGCAAAATACGCAGCAAATTAGATTTTAGTAGACACTTCTATTAGTTAACTTTGTACAAGCATTTCTGACATGTACCAACTTGAAGTGACTACGCGACAAGATTTTGGTAAATAAAGAAACTGAAATATAAGTTGTATAATGTTATGGTAGCGTATAGCAACTTAAATAATATATCACAAATTTCAAGAAAGAAAATTTTTCAAGTAGTAGTGGTCTGAGTTATATAAAATAGTGTATTTTAAAACTTTATCATCATAGTTTATCCAAATTTATTATGTTGATAAAATAATTTGTTATATAATTGTAGGGCTTGAAAATATATCTGAATAAAACACAATTATCCTGCAAATTGTATATTATATAATCAGTCAAAATAAATGCGAATTTCGGTACAGGATTAGTTCAACTTGAATAAGATCTGAATAATCTTAATTATTCCTCCAAAGAAAAAACAACATTCTTGATTTAATTTGTACTCCGTATACATCTTAAGACTTCCACACCACAGATTTTGGCTTTGATCTCACGAATTAAACCTACATTTGTACGCAATTTTAGTGGATTAATTGAAATATTTTTTACAACTGGATGTTTTTATTCTGTTGGATTTTCATAATTACTTGATTTATTTTGTTAATCATCACTGCTTCCATTTTAAACAGTAATTTTTAAGTTTTAGAAATGTAGTGAATTGTTGACTGTTCATTGTATGTAATTTATGAATAAATTCTCTGAATAATAAAAATATGTATTAGAACAACTACAAAATAATCACAAAAATTCTCATCAATAATATGTCAAAAAATGTGCATAAGATATTTGGTAAATATTTTGATCCAAATTCGTGGAAATATTCATAGCATTCGAATCGCTATTGGAATTTTACTGCGTTTGCTATTTTATTCCTGGAGTCAGTAAAGCCTTCAAAGGGAATAAGCTTTCTAGTGTGCATTGATAAGATGCATATAACGAGCATAATAATCCTTTTTAATTGAATACTAGCGTTAGGAATTAATATAATTATTTCCCCCCCTTTCTTTATCCAACTTTAAAATGCATTTTGTTACGTTTGATTCTTTAAATTGTAGGAATTACGTGGACTCTTTTAGCATATGACAAAACTTATTACATAACGTTTTTTATTGCAAAACTAAAATATTAACTTTTTCTAATAAAACAAGTCAGAAACCTATATGTTAACAATATAAAACTGATTTTCTAAAGAAAAATTAAACAATTATTTCTTAAGCAACTATTTTTATAAAAAATATATGAAGGTAAAAGTCCTTTCTTTATAAAAATTACAGTATTTGTCACGTGAGTCAACATTTCTAAATTGTACAAGTTATTAACTATATTTTAAATAACATATACACATAATTGAGTTAAATAATAATTTGATATTTCGTAATAATTAGCTCTTTCCTCATCAAGAAAAAAACTTTTAATTGGACATTGTATTTCTAGTGGTTGAATGCTTTAGTTTGTGCGGAAATTATAATTTGTACGACAAGTATATAAGCAAAAGCTCAGCAATGTCAACGCTTATTAACGTAGCAAAACTTTACTCTATAGACCCCCTTTTATCTCTCTCTCTCCAGATACACGTATTTCTGCAAATTCACCCTTTAATAAAATCCAAGATGAAAATCAATTAAATTACACTCGATGCATAACACATTTTTAAATTGGATTTAAATCAGGCGGATTTTGGGTAAAAAAAAAACCTGGTGCGTGACGAGAATCAACCAATCTTATAATTAGTTTAGCTTGGATAATTCAATCATTATGGGGCGCCAGGATAGCGTTTCTAAAATAAATCTGCGGAGCAAACTTGGAATTTTCGTCGCGTCCTTTTCCTTGTACACTCCATCTATAAAAGGAAACGTGTTCTTCTTGGTTTTTTTTCTTATTTCCTCTTCCACAATTGAAATTTATAATCTACTTTGCGCTCAAATGACGCGGATAAATTTTGGATCATCTTGCCGGTGACGCAAGGTCTTCGTCTTCTGTACCCAAGCACTCCGTTATTTATTTATGTTTCTTATTTTCGTGTCTACAACATCCCTCGTCGTGATTATCACTTTAATAACATTTTCCGACAATTTATCTTTATCTTATTTTTAAATTGCTTCCATAAATTAGTATACTTCTTACTATATATTAAAATAATTATTACAGCACTTTAACATTTTTTTTAAATTACTACACATGTAATTTGAATTTTATTAATAATATTTTTTTCATATCAAGAAATATTTTATTTTGTCATTATTTTTCATATATTTGTATGAAATTTATACCATTTGAATATGCAGTAAATTAGTTCTTGTTTGACTGTTTGGAATTTACTACACCGTAGCAGCTTTAACTGCACATGAGTTATGAGTTGAAATAGATTATAATTTCAGTTGAAATTCAGGAGTTTGCACTATTTCAGCCGATGAACTACAATATATATTATGCAATAAGTGTATTGCTTGTATATTATTTATTTGGTATTCTCTGTTTTTTTTCCCTAAAAGAAAGATGACACCATTTTAAACAATTCTTGTAACTTCTTACTATTACGGACAGTTAAATATTTTTATTTAAATTGTACAACAAACTATAATAAAATTATCTCATGCCTTATTTGATAGTATTATTTAAATTCGTTGGTTACAGATATAAACGTTCACAAATACAGGAATACCACGCAATAAATAAACTGAACAAAAAGAGATTGTATAATTTAAAATCCGATTATTTATGTATACAAAATATTATTTTTAAAATTTATTTTTATTTTAATCATAAAAATTTAGTTTATTTTGAAATTTGAAAACCGTACTATAGTAAATCCACATACATGGAAGCCCCACTGTGCGAACTACTGCTATACATTTATATTAATACTAATAACAATAATTTATAGACAAATAATCAAATTATTCAAGTTTATATTTAAATGTTTTATCGGGACGACTAATAGCCGAATGATTAAGTCGCCCTACCCACGATTTCATGGGCTTCGGTCCAAATCCTGGTCAAGCCAGGCCCTTGGTGCTCTCGGTGCTCTCGGTGCTCACATCACAGATGGACAGTCAAATGAATGAGGTTCAGCATATGGACTTTGAGCCAAGTCGTTGGACAATGACAGTGTTAAGGATAGCAGCAGATTCACAGTCAAACGAATTAGTGGAATCGCAGTACCAACCAACAAATTAATATCAAATCATCACTATCCACTGGGAAAGATTATCCATTTAATGTCAACCGTGAATAAAATTATATGACATAAAAAAAAGTTTTATCTCTTCGCTTAATTTCAAATTTAGAATATTATATAAGCCATGTGTATATGAAATAATTTACATGATTCTGACTCATTTTATACCCTAATCAAATTATTGTTTCGTTTAATTAACTTTACAAAATGATTCAATTTCCTTTTGACATCAACTATTCGTAATAACCCATTCATTTTAGTAGCCTGTACTCCTCTAACATCCTTATCTGAAGACCAGATATATCGTTTATGATTGTCCTGATATATTCATATGTTACTGACATATTCATATGTTACTATTATTCCCATTGTCTATATATTACAATTGGTTTAACATATTTGATTAGTTCATGTATTTGACAACTAGTTCTTATAGCACATATTACAAAACAAATATTATCAACGTCAATTATTTGTATACATATAGTTGTAATAATTACAAATTAATAATTTTTAAGAATGCATGAAAATTTAAATTAAAACTTTATGAATAAATTATGTTAACGGAAACTTAAAATTCAAAATCTAGTGACATAAAAAAACTTTAACATTACAAACAAGTGGAGTTAAGAGAAAAAGTTTATCCATTTTAATATAATTGTTACATTTCTCTAGTTAAATAAAAGTTGTTAAATAACTTTATTGTGCTTATAAGAAATTTGTATGTTTCTCGAATTACTTAATTTATTATTTACCAAGTAAAAACACTAAAACTTACATGAATAGATAGTTTTAAGTAATTCCATTTATGTTACTTCTTATAACGAAGTCTGCAATTTCAAGCATCATGAGGTAAACGTCCTCATTATAGAATTTAAATATTGCACATTTTTTGATGTCAAAAGCACATCAAGAGACAGTTAAAAAAGTTGTTGCCTTTTGCAACAGATAAATCGAGTAGATTTTTTTCGATTTCACTTTAAATATAAATAAAAAAGATTTTCATTTTCTTTAGACGGAAAATATGAGATTCTAGCCATAGTAAATTTACCACTGAAAAGGAAGTTTCGCTAAATAAAGTAATTTCGTGTAACCCATCCTGTTCTTTAGTCGAGATACGACTGTACTGCACTTTTATACATTATATTACGTGCATCACTTTATATGTAAATTTCAAAATTATTCTTACCCGAAAAATATATCATCATAATTGGCTAAATCATAAATTCTGTGAAGTACATACGATTGGTTGATGTAATCTTTTTGTACATGCTAATAACCGGAG